AATGGAGCCGCCCCCCCTCCCCGGGGCCAGCCTCTATTTCCCCCCACTGCAATGAGTGGTCCCCTTGGGGGAGGCTCCCACTGCCCCCCTCGGGAGCCTGCCTCCCACATCGGGTGAGGCTCCTGCTGCCCGGCCCCCCATCGGTGAGGTTTCCGCTGGCCCAAGAGTCCCCAGCTGCTCCCTTGTGCAAGGCTGCTAGAGACCTCCAAGGGACAATAGCCCCTCCCGCAAGGCTCCCCCTGGCATGGCCGTTCTTCTTCATTGGAGCCCCACGGATGTGGGGGGCCCCCTCATGTAATAATCCCACCGACTGGGTCGTGCAGGGCTCTCGCCAGCCCCATGGAAGGCCACAGGGTGGAGCTCGCTGACCCAGGGAGGTGCCAGCCCTCTTGACACCATGCGCCCCGTGGAGCGAAACATTGCCCTGTGCAAAGCCCTCGCCTCATGTCTGAGGGCTCTCTCTGGGCAGGGTAAAGTTTTATGTCTGAAATTAAGTGGTGCAGTACAGTGTAAGTTCCGGGTGAATTCAGTCGTTTGGCAGGCTAGATTTGGCCTGTGAGATGGATTTTGCCTGTCTTTGGATTAGGCTGTGCAGTTCTCTGCTCTGTGGGTGGACTAGAAATCTCCCAGAGACAGAGGCTGCAACTTTACACAGAGGGTTAAAAATAATACTTGCACTAGTGTGTGAGCGATTATTCTCACACAAACAGCTTCAGTAATTAAAGTCTGGTCTATGCACACGTAATGTACTGGTATAACTATATTGGGCAAAGGTGTGATATAGTTATACCAGTCAAACACCTATTGGCTGTGTCTAGACTGGCAGGCTTTCTGGAAATGCTTTTAATGGAAAAGTTTTCCATTAAAAGCATGTTTGGAAAAGAGCGTCTAGATTGGCACGGACGCTTTTCTGAAAAAAGCCCCGATCGCCATTTTCGCCATCGGGGCTGTTTTGCGGAAAACAAATCTGAGCTGTCTAAACTGGCCCTTTTGCGCAAAAGTTTTGTGCAAAAGGACTTTTGCCTGAATGGGAGGAGCATAGTATTTCTGCAAGAACACTGACAATCTTACATGAGATCATCAGTGCTTTTGCGGAAATTCAAGCGGCCAGTGTAGACAGCTGGCAAGTTTTTCCAGAAAAGTGGCTGATTTTCTGGAAAAACTGGCCAGTCTAGACACAGCCATTGAGGACACAGTTGTACCCATACAAAGATTCCTTATCCCGGTGTAGATTATTCCCCTTCCTGACAGAAATATGCTATTTTGGTATAAGCACATGTACATCAGTGTAGCTGAATCCCTGCTAGGGTAGTTGTACAACTTTAATTATAGTTGGAGCAGGAAAGCTGAGCTAAGGTTCGCAGGCACCAATGCAAACCACAAAAAGCAAAGAAATACGCAATCTAGTGATTCATCGCCTTGATCTGCTTACTAGCTTCCCTTCTTGCCCTGGACTATTTGCCCTTGTTCCACTACCCAAAGCCTGGAATTCCCCCCACACTGAGCCAATGGCTCTCAGCCTTTTCTGATGATTGTACCCCTTTCAGTTTGACTTATCTTGTATACCCCCACGTTTTTCCTTATTTAAAAACTACTTGCTTACAAAATCAGACATAAAAATACAAATGTCACACCACACTATTACTGAAAAATTGCTTACTTTTTCATTGTTACTATATAATCAAGTAAATGAATTGGAATATAAATACTGTACTTACGTTTCAGAGCATATTATGTAGAGTGGAATAAAAATGTCATTGTATATTCAAAAATGTTGTTCTTATTGAGTTTGCTAGTGCTTTTTATATAGCCTGTTGTAAAACTAGGCAAATATCTAGATGAGTTGATGTATCACCTGGAAGACTTCTGTGAACCCCCAGGGGTGCGTGTACGCTTGGCTGAGAACTGCTGTGTTGAGCAACCAGTGACCTTTTGAAATCTGACTTCTTTTCTGTAGAAACTTGAGACATACTCCTTCCTCACAGGCACACACATTCTAGAATATCCTCTCTCCCCATGATGTATGCATGATTTTGTATCACTTGTACTCCATATAAGCTACTGCCCTTTTGCTTTTCCACAGCCTCACAAGAGGAAGAGGAGCAGCCTGGAATCCCAAACCACTCTCTCTGCTTTCCAGCAATGGATCCAAAGATGCTATATTAGGTTAGTGCCTGTAGCTTTACATTTGGAGATCTTAAAAGGTCTTCATGGCCGTTTTCAAAGGATACGCATTGAACTCTGCTGCACTCTCAATATATGCAGTGTACTTTTCAGTATCATAGTACAAGCATTTCCAGTGTTGTTTGTTTACTAAGTGGTGTTACTCTCATCCCTGGCTAGGGATAAAAATGGTAGCTGTATATGTATTTTATAGATTTGTGCATTTGTCTGTCTGAGTCCATCCAGCTATCTGTGAGTCCCCTTGTTTAAGAACTCCTAAATGGTAACAGTTAAGACCACCAAATTTGATATGCAGTTTTCTCTTATCCTACCTTAAAGCAAGGTCAGGCTTTGGTTGTGCCAGCAAAATGGGATGTGCCTGGAATTTGATTGTTTTACATAATATGGAAAGTGAGGGGGCTATCCTACAGAGTGATCACTGGGGGAGCGAGTGCTGGGGACAGCTGTACTGTAGAGTGACCACAGACAGCAGCCACACAAGAAAGACAATGACCAGCTGGGGCTGAGGTTTGCCATTTTGTTGGCCAGTGGCCCAGGTAGGCGCCTCCCTCCTTCCCCACCCTGGCCCTCAACTACAGTGCTGGATTGGGTGGGGAAGAAAGCCCTGCTAGCCCCACTGCTATGGTGCCCGTCCCCCTAGAGCACTGCCAGGACTGGGTAATGCAGCCCTGAACACCCCCCTCTGGGGAGCCGAAGCCATCCTTCTCAGTACCTTGAGCCCCACAGCACACACTCCCCAGCCAACCTGCGTGCCCCCCCCCCATTCAGGCCAGGGGAGCACCAGTGGGAACAGCTTGTGCGTCCCATACCTCCTGGACTGGGATTAGGGTGGGCTGTGGCTCCCCGGAGAGGACGTATCCACGGCTGTGTACCCGGCTCCAGCAATGTTCAGGCAGGGAGGGGCACCACAGCAGAGGGGTGAAGCCAGCAGGTGGGGCACTCAGTCTCTGCTGCTCTAGGTCATCCCTGGGAAGAAGCTGGTGGCCACTCCCCATCCCCTGCCCTGAGCCCCCCAATCTCCTCCACTGAGCACGCTCTCCTCCCAACCCCCTGCCCTGAGCCCCTTCTTATCTCTTGCCCTTGAATCCGGCACCCTCACTTCCTGCTCTGAGCCCCTCCTCACCCCCCCTCCAACCCTGACTTCCGTACCTCCCTCCCACATCTCTGGCTTCCTGCCCCGAAGGACCAAGGCAACACCAGGTGAGTCTTCTAGTATTTGAATATAGCGGAACATAAATGAATAGTTTTTCCAGTGCTTCTGAACAGAAGATTTGTCATAGGCTATGTGGGCAAGCCGTCGGTGGAGCATCTTATTAAAAGCATCTTATTGGCAACACATCACTAAAGAACTGTGAAATGCATTTGAAAATGATGAGCTGAACTTATGCTAACAGAAATATAAGTTCTGTGCATAGGGCACTTGCAGGACTGATCCCAAAGTTTTTAAGCAGCAGTGGTATTGTACCTATTAAACTCACTGTGCGAGGAAGTCATCTTTTGATGTGATGGGAGCTGCATAGGATACCAATTTTGCAAAGGCTACAGAAGTTATTCTCTGAATGTTAGAACTCTTAAAGTGACACTGTTAGCTAGTCCAGGTTGCAAGTTGGGAAACACATTTACAAAGAAATATTGATAGTAATAGTATTTTTAAAAGGTCAATAAAAATTTGCTTGTTTGCATCAAAATATTTTCACCTTGCTTGAAACCCAAACGGTGCTGCTTCTGTAAATGAAACAGAAAGTGAAATTGATCAGTCTTAGAGAGTAGCGTTCTGAAAATACACAAATAGCATGCATGGTATAAAAAGTAAATTTGTATTTAAAATTCTTTTGTCGTATGATGGAATATGAATTTTAATAGTAAATGAATTCCTGACTCTCTTAGACTATCTTGAAAATCCCAGTTTTAATCTTTATGGGGGGCTACACAGGGTAGAGAATTTGACTTTAATGTTAATGTTAATCTGACAGCATCCCATTAAATAAATTCTGAGTATTTCTATTTTGTCAATTGATACTTTTCATTTAAGCTATTTAAAATGTTTTGACAGGAGTAATTACAAAAGTGCATTGCATAACGCTTGAATGAGTGTGTTTTTTTTTTTTTTTAAATAAAACCTCACAGGTAAAAGAAGAAACAATGAAAGCCTTTTTAAAAAGTTCAGATGGTGTTTTCACGCTGAGGTCAAAAGTAACTACTATAGGAAGACATGAAGATTCAGATGTTGTTCTAAAGGTATGAGGATAAAATTCATTATCATTATTCTTTACAGAACTCATTCTTAACTTAATTACTCCATTTTATAATAATTCAATTTTTCCTTAGCCAGCAGTGGTTTACATGATTTCATTTAGAGCCACAGGGATGAAATGGCAGTAAGAGAACTTGTTTAAATTTTTAAGATAGACAACCAAAAGAAAGAAATTACTTAACGTGCTTTAGGGTAATAGAAAGCAAAAGCCTGGGGGAAAAAAAAAGAAAACTTAACATAGACATTAGGAATTGTCAGTTCAATTAGACAACTCAGTAATTCTCCAAGGAGGTTGCATAAGCACCATCTCTACAGGTGTTTATTGATGAACACACTAAAACACTTAGGAAGGGATTTCTAATCTAAGGTCTAGATCTAAAGTCCACTGAAGGCAATGGGAATCTTTCATTTGACTGTGGTGGGCTTTAAATCAAGCAGTATGTTAATGGATGAGTGACATTTTACAGTTCTTTCACTGATGGGTAAGTTTAAGATCACAATTAAAACCAGTTCTGTAGATTACTTAGCTAAAAACACAGATGTCTCTACATAGGAGCTTTATAAGCCCAATAAACGATCCAACTGAAAACAGTCTGCACCTTCATACTCAACAGTGCGTCTAAAAATATTTATTTATTCCTTCCCCTCCTCAAACAATCAGAACACATACCCAAATTTATGTAGTAGATCTGAATGTCAGTACTATTTAACATGTGTGTATTAGCATTCTACAGTAAGGCCATAGCTACACTGCAAGATAAGGTCAAATTTAGTAGGGTTGATTTTTAGCACCTGGTTTTGTAAAGTCAAAGGTGCATGTCCCCACCGTGCTCAAGAATTCAAGATAGTTCAAAGCAGTGTGTCCCTACAATGTTGGCTGCCGTCAAATTTGAGAGCGATGCTCTGTGGATAGCTATCCCATAGTGCCTGCACCTGTTTGCATTCTGGATTCTGCTCCCAGTGCACGCTGGGACCAAAATTGTACAGCAAGTGGTTCTGGGTACATGTTGTCAGCAACCCATAATGCACTAGTTGCCTCACTCTTCCCTCGTGCCCTTTTTTCTCTTGTTGGTTATCCGCACAGAGGCCATAGCAACATGAGCTTCGAACCCATCATAGATATCGTTCAGCATTAAAGCTTTGTGATGCTGATATTAACCTTGGTGTGCCTAATGCTGGTGTATGTCCAGAGCGTATCCAGGGTCCGCTGGAACGAGCAAGAATCTCAAGAGGCCATAAACATACTCTTCTGCAAAGCACTTGCGTTGAGCAAGTTGCAAATGCTGCCAGCACTCTGGACAGAGTGAAACATCAGTTCTGGTGCCATGAGTCAAGCACAGACTGGTGGGACTGCATTGTGATGCAGGTATTGACCACTTTCATGGAACTTTGCAAATTGCTTTCCCTTACCCTGAAGCACAAGAATACCAGAATGAGACAGTGCAGAAGAGAGTGGGCATAGGCCTGTGGGAACTTGCAACACCAGACAGCTACCCGTCAGTTGGGAATCAATTGAAAGTGGGGAAATCTACAGCGGGGGTTGTTGTGATCTAAGTAGCCAAAGCAATCAGTATCATTCTGTTATGGAGGGTAGTGACTCTGGGAAACGTGAAAGACATAGTGGAGAGCTTTGCTGGGCTGTAATTCTCTAACTGTGGTGGGATGATAGATGGAATGCACATCCTCATCTTGGCACCCAACTACCTCGTAAAGGAGAACATAAGCCACAAAGTGTACTTCTCAATGGTGGTGCAGAGGCTGGTGGATCACAAGGGCCATTTTACCAACGTCAGCGTGGGATGGTCAGGAAAGGTGCATGCTAAGCATGTCTTTAGGAACTCCTGCCTCTTCAGCAAGTTGCAAGCTGCAACCTTTTTCCCAGACTGGAAAATTATAATCTGAGATATTATAATGCCAACAGTGATCCTTGATGACCTACCCTACCTTGCTCATGAAGCCAGACATGAGTAGCTTGGACCACAGCAAGGAACAATTCAACTACAGAACCTCGACTTTCTCAGCACTGCATACCAGAAAGATGACCATGCAAGATCAAATTTAGTGGTTACTCCTCATGAAAGCAGGAGTACAAAAATTGACTTTTTAACGGCCATTCATGTCAATGGAAAGGGCTTGGTAGTGTGGACTCTTTGTTTCAAAAATCGACCTAATGTGGGTAAGTTCAACCTAAACTCCCAGTGTAGTCCAGGCCTAAGTTTCAGGGTTGCACTACTGAGAAGAAAAGAGACAGGTTCCTGCTCCAAGTAGCTTACAATCTAGGGTTCGATAGCTGCAAATATTTGCATATGTGAGCATGGTTCCCACTGAATACAATGTAAGTATAATGTGCAAAGTTACTCATGTGTTTTAAATGTCTGTAGTCCTGGGGCCTAGGCTGGATAAGAAATAATGTGCTATAGAAAAAGATAAGAAGCAAGGAGGAGGAGAAAATTCTTAATTTGTTATCTTCATTATTAGATATGCATCTATTTGTAACATCAATTATCCAATTTTTATTGCTATGATCTTGTACAGTTTGGTACCTATCACATGTAAAATGCAAAATGTGAAGTTTATTTTTTTCATCAAGCCAAAATATATTGAATACAATGAAAAAAAATCCTTAGATGAGCAGCCAGCTGCCATTTTGATTTCCTCTGAGCCAAAATACTATGATACAGTGTTAGCCAGAAGACTGAGACAAAGTAAAATAAACCCCAGCAAACTCCTCATTGCAATCCATAATGCTGGGTAGTTCTTTGCACTGATTTCTGAAACTGTTATCCAATTTCAGTCTGTAGGTATTGAAGATCATCATGCAGTCATTGAATTTAATGATTCAGAAAACAGTTTTGTTCTTCAAGATTTCAACTCTCTTCACGGCTCTTTCGTTAATGATTGCCATATACAGAATGCAGCTGTGAAAGTGGGTGCAGGGGATATTCTGCGCTTCGGTTCAGGAGGAACATCCTATGAGCTAGTGATAGAAAACGCTCCTCAGGTAACATCTCGTGAATGGATAACATCTTCGTATTTTGTAAGGTAGCTGCCAAAGAATGTCCGCTCCGTTAGTGAAATTTTGGCCCCTTTAAGGAGAAATTTTCACTTACAACCTTTCAGAAAATCTTTTAAAAATTAATTTGTACACCTTCTTATACTAATTTAAGAATACTGCAGAGTGGAACCTAACAGATGTGTAAAATCAGAGGAGTGGACAACACTCCTTGTTTATAAAAATACATATATTGATGCCAAGAATGTAGTTAAATGTTGGGTTAAAAAATGGGCTGAACTTGCTGAAGTCTGATCGGATTTGTTAATCATGTGACTACCAAATGACTCCTTGGTCGTATTCAGTAACCCCTTTCACAGGTAAATCTCCCTTTGACATCAAGCTGCCACGCAGAATAAGGCTCCAATACTATGTATTTAGTTACATTTAAAACCCAAACATATGACTGTACAAACATACCAGGAAAATAAAAGCTAAAAATTCTACTTACTTTATTAGTTGTTACTATCTACTGAGAGAGTTTGTCTCTCTGTGAGCGACTAAGTCTGTCTGTCCAAAAATTCCTCCAAGAGGATACAAGCTAGTGTAATGCTGATAGGTGGAACTGAACCTGGGACCTATGGAGCTTAGTGCGTGAATCTCTACAGCAGCATTTCTCAAAGTGGTCTGTGAAACCACTCTGAGAAACTTACTAACTGGCTGCTTCGGTGTGTTTATCTACCGGGCCTGCAGCCACAGAGCCTTGTGGCTCCCATTGGCTGCAGTTCGCTGTTTGCAACCAAGGGAAGGGTGCTATTGGACTGAGAGATGTTGCCAGTTCCAGACCTATTTCCTGTTCTAGTCATAGGGCATATATCTCAAACAGAATCTTTTAGTAAAGTGTGATCCTTGTACTTTAATCACAGCCTAGATATTTTACTCTGTTTTTAACATTTACTTTTTTGAAAAGTCAGCACAGCTAGGTGTAGTACTGTGGCAAGTTGTATTCTTTTGGAAGAAGACTGCTCTCTATAAAGCAAAGGAAAGAAAGAAATATTCATGGATTCACTGACAGGGAACTGGAAAATAAGAGGTCTTTAACTCCCCCTGCTGAAGGAGCTCAGGCACTACATTGAGAGGTTTTATAACTTCCTAGGTTTTTTTCTTTTACACATGTTTACTAGAGACAAGAAAAGGTAAACCTCTAGAAAACTCAGAAGTATCTCCAGTTTTTCTGATTTTTCTTTAGCGGTAAAGAGTATCCAGTCTGGGAAATTCCCTTTTCTCGTTGTGTTTTCAAAAGTTAAATGATTAAAAACAACAGATTATTAAAACTGTTACCTTTTAAAATGTGTGCTTAAAAGGAGTTTGGTGCCTTTTCAGACTCAAAAGTGGCAACACACCACATTCATGTACTTAGCATGAAACAGGAGTCCAGCCAGGCCACAATGACACAACACAACTCGTGAACACAGTGTAAAATAAAAGCATTCCCATATACAGAAGATGAAATTTTAAAAAAAGTAGTATTCCTGAAACTGGACAATCAGCTAGGCTCACCAGGATTTTATATGAAATTGAATTGATAAATATCAGTTGTAACTTTACAGCTCTGAGTCTTGAAGATCTCAAGAAACTGCAGATCTAGAGGTCTACCCTGAATAGGATACAAACCAATCTGAGGGATTCAGGCTTGTTTGGGAGATATGGCCAGAATTTGGGGACCAGCGCTCAGATACAGAAAGTAGTGAAGGATGTCAAAATAAAAGCGGCGAGGAGTCCTGTGTCACCTTATAGACTAACTGAAGTGTAGGAGCATAAGCTTTCGTGGGCAAAGCATCTGACAAAGGCATGCATCTGACGAAGTGGGTCTTAGGAGCATAAGCTTTTGTGGGCAAAGACCCACTTCGTCAGATGCATGCCTTTGTCAGATGCTTTGCCCACGAAAGCTTATGCTCCTACACTTCAGTTAGTCTATAAGGTGACACAGGACTCCTCGCCGCTTTTATTTTGACATCCTTCACTACTTTATTTGATAGATGTCACAATAGTTTGTATCGCCATATTACAAACATGAAAATGCGGCACTTCAAATAAATACTCAAGGCTCAGCTTTCCAAAGCTTGTGACTTAAGGGGGGGGGGGACAAATTTTATCACTCGGATTAATAATGAGCACACAAAATGCATATTTATATTAACAGTCTGCACTTTTGCAACTCATTCCATCACAGTGCCTTCAGGTGCTTTACAAACATGTAGTAATTAACACTCCTATACCCCCTATAAATTAAGCAAGTGTAGGATAGGGAAACTGAAGCAGAGAGCTGTTCAGTGATCTATCCAAGATTACAGAGTGAATAAATGGAAGAGCAAGGAGCAGATTATAGAAATTATGGTTCTCATTTTTGTGATTTATGTGCTAAGGCTATATTTCTTATAAATAAATTAAATTATAAATTCTTCTGGGCAGAGACTGGAATTCTCTGTGTGTATCGAGAGTTCCAAGCAAAATTAAACCCTGATCTTGACCCTCTGAGCACCACTTCAGTACAAATAATAGTCCTTGTGTGCCAGTCTGAGTATGCAGAGGCAGATTTTAGATGTCCTAGCCCAATTTGCTAGTTTGGATGCCTCTCTCCAAAGAGACACAGAGTGCTGATAAGTGGTGGGAAAATCCTGGTTTTAGGTAGTGAAACCAACTTTATGAATTGATGCAGTTAGAATTCCAGTGCTGTGGCAGAAAAAGGGGTGAATCCAGAGGTGTTTGTGTAGATGACAATAGTCTAGGTTATCGAAAGGTTAGAGAAAACCGTGAAGAACTACAGAAAGAGCAAACAAAGATAAGCGATTGACTAAAATGATCAAAGTTGAAAATGATGGTGTAATGCAAGTTGATTTGAAATTTTCTCCTAGTCATGCCTGTTTCCGGATTCTGTTTTATCATCCACACTTTATATTAAGTAATTTTCCCCATCGTCTGTACAAAATTGCATTTTTCCTCTTGCAGATGTCTTGCCCACCCATGAAACGTCGCACAGCATGGCCTGGGCAGCTCCAGTTTATTTCAGAGACAGAACTTTATACCACTTCAACAGCTCCGTCTCAACTTCCTTTCCTCCAGTCTCAGCACCCAACCAGTGTTCCCAACAGTTGGATACCTGGAACAAATGGAACCACACCCCATCCACCAAACAGAAGACGACCTGTGAGTGCTTGGGGGAGAAGTATGGCGACTTCTTTCTCTCCAGATACGTTCAATAGGCCTATTGCAGCAAGACAAGGTATTTTGTGGTGCTTTAATTAACTCTCCATATAGCATTACACAGGAGGAAAGCTGAGCACGGCTTCCATGCACAGTGATGGTTTTTCACACATAGCTACATGTTTTTCGACTGATCTTGGCAGAAGTATTTCTGATTTACATTGGCAAGTGACCAGAGAATTAGACGTGCACATCCAGTTTCAGTGCTAATTGAGTAATTGCATTGTCTTTAGTGGGCATTGGATCAGGTTCATTGTATAGAATTGCTATTTGTTAAGCAGTCCCCAGCTGGGAACCCCGGAGAACACCCTGCAACATTGGACTGGCAGTGGCCAAGCGGTCCCCAGGAGACCCTGGGGTAGCAGGGTGGGGAGCTGTGCCAGGCTAGCTTTAGTGGGGCCAGGAGCAGGGCAGGGAACCCCAGGGAGAGGCACCCAGGAGCAGAGTAGCCAGCAGGGGAGCATTGACCTTCCCTGGTTCATCAAACGCCTTGGTCTGGGACAGCTCAGGTTCCGAAGGTACTGGACCAGGAAGGTCCAGTCAGTATTCAAACACCTTGGTCTGGGACAGCTCAGGTCCCGAGGGTACTGGACCAGGAAGGTCCAGTCAGTATGAGCATAGTTATTCAATGCTGCATTTTCAGAAAAACGTGCAGACATTATATCTACTACTCGTCCACTTGAGGATGTTTCATATCTTGAAACTATATTATTCTTCACTGATTATATAGTTTCTTTGCACCAATGAATGCCATTTATTATAACATTGATTATTAGTCTGCAGTTGCTGGGATAAAGTACATAGATACTAAAATTATGGTTGATTTGGAAATGTTTGTAGATAAGCTAAAGTCATGCAGATGCATTAATTAATCAAAACAAGCTCTTGTGCTGAATTTCTGTATATGTCATTAGAAGCCTTTTTTATTTTTTAATCTTGATAAAGTACCAGGAAATGGACAATCTGGAGCAAGTGGAGTTCCATTATCAGGAATTCATCATATGGATAAACTTCTTCAGGAAAAGGTAATGTATGAATGTGACATGGAGGTTGCTCTCAGAAACATTGCTTTTGTCAACAGTAATCTATTGAACACAAATAGTATGATTTGTAAGCAAACAGAGCAGAAATGCTATATAAGTAGGTTCTTTAAGTGACTGATAGTAAAATTCCCTTACTCACCACAGTGTAAACTCTGCACTGTTAAGTAATTGATTTCAAAATGGGACTACTCACATAAGTGAGAATTACCATATGGAAAGGAAGGAGATATCTTAGAACTGGTGAATTTCGGGGCATGGAACTGTAAGATAGCAAATGTGAGTATCTGAAATTTTGTATTAAAGTTGTTGAACTGCCACTATACTTTAAGGCTGTGTCCACATTGGCACCCTTTTCCGGAAAAGGGATGCTAATGAGACGCTTCGGAATTGCAAATGCCCCGGGGATTTAAATTTTCCCTGCGGCATTTGCATGAACATGGCTGCCGCTTTTTTCCGGCTCGGGGCTTTTCCAGAGAAAAGCGCCAGTCTAGACAGGGATCTTGCGGAAAATAAACCCTTTTCCAGAAGATCCCTTATTCCTAATTGAAATCAGGAATAAGGGATCTTCTGGAAAAGGGTTTATTTTCCGCAAGATCCCTGTCTAGACTGGCGCTTTTTTCCGGCAAAGCCCCGAGCCGGAAAAAAGCGGCAGCCATGTTCATGCAAACGCCGCGGGGAAAATTTAAATCCCCGGGGCATTTGCAATTCCGAAGTGTTTCATTAGCATCCCTTTTCCAGAAAAGGGTGCCAATGTAGACACAGCCTAATAGTACTAGAATGTGCAAGAACAGCATTTTGGAGAGAGAGAATTTATTTTATATTTTAATGAAAATAATTTGAAAACCTTTTTTTGGAACAGGCATAATGTTGCATCCTCATTTGTGTATAATATTCAGATGTCTTCTGCATGTAGGATGAAATCATTCTAAAAATGGAAGATGAAATCCGTCATTTTTTGGGTTTGGAAAGTGAGTCAAAACATAAAGATACAGTAATAGCCAGTCTTCAGGATGAAATTGCAGTGATGACAAAGAAGATGGCTCAGGCTACTGCTAGGAATGATGTTGAGTTTACTCAAAAACTACAGACCTTTGAACGAGATATTGAAGCAAAGACAGAAGAGATTAAAGCCTTGAAAGAGCAGGTATTGAACTCTTAAAGGGATTCTGTCTACTTTAATCAAGCTCCTCTGCATTTTTTTTACTAACCATTGTTGTTGGACACAACAAAATTTAGAGAAGAAAAAAGGATTTTTTTCAGTTTGTTTGTTTGACAATCCTTTTATATATTTAGAGGGGTAACTGAGTTAGTCTGTAACAGGAAAAATTTAAAAAACAACAAATAGTCTAGTAACACTTTAAAGACTAACACAACATGGAGGTGGTATCATGAGCTTTCATGGGCAAAACCCACTTCTTCAGATGACCAGAGTATAATGAGTCCAGATCCAAGGATAAATAAGGGAAGAGG